GCTCTTCCGATCATTTTAATTTTTAATAATATGTCACTTAAGAGATCAGTATTTAAAGTAAAAAGAGATAAAGTATAAAAAGAGAAAGCACTTAGGTTTTATGTTTTTTTAATTTAAAATACAAAAAAAGATAGTAATACTTTTATTTTGTAATATATATATATATACGAGAAAAAGGCACACGGTAATAACGGTAACCTCACTTGATCGATATCAGTATACATATACATATGATCGATGAGTGCGAGGCTGCAAGGTTAGCAATCCTAGCGCTCTAGCGCCTCTTGTGGTAAAAATTGTAACAGTACATTTCCCCCACCCCGCAACTGGTTGACGACGATGAACACGTTTCTTAATAATAAATTCCCACATTTCGGACTTTGCGTTGCAATATATCCGCTCGTAGGATATGTAGAAAGAAAATAAAAACACTTTCATTACACAAACCGAACCCAAGCCTATTTGGAACTTAATCGGTTGGACCGTTATTAAGATCTCAAAATCTCGGGTGCTCGCAACGCGACGGCTCGCGTTAAGAGACCCGGCATGGCTTGTTTAAACACTTGACACCAAGCCACTACCGTGTCTCCTGAAAAATCAAAAATCTAAAATTTTTTTACCAAGTTTGCGAAGTTCCAAAAAGTAAAATAAAAATCACACGCAAATAAGGTTTACATCGTTCAAAAGCGTGAATTTTTAGCTTTAATTTGAGCAGTCGGCGAGCATTGTGCGATTTTTTTTCACCGAGTTATTCAACATTGAAGTAAAAATGATCCTTATGCTTCAACATTGAATAACTCGGTGAAAAAAAATGCTCACCAAGTGCGCAAATTAAAGATAACGATTCACGCTTTTAAATGCTGTAAACCGCATTTATGTGCGATTTTTAATTCACGTCGAGGAATCTTGCAAAATTCGTAACAAATTTTGTCGCATATCTTCATTTGTATCAGTAATTCTCCGTAAAAGATCAGTAAGATCGATATAAAAAGTAGAGACTTTAAGCTGTAAAATGCTTATTAAAAAATTTTATTACAATTTGTCATCTTTGCAACGTTACACTCTCCTTTGGAGGATAGAATAGGTGATACTTTACTTTTTCTGTTGAATGCTCATTAAATTTTGAAAAAATTGAATAGTGAAGCTGAAAAATCGTCGATATTTGAATTGTGGTAACTTCGTGAAAAATAATCCTGAAACAATTTTCCTGGGCTTGTTTTAAAGGGCGAAGTCTTTCGATTTTCCTAAGTTGATATTTCTCAAAGATGCTTTTGCACTAAGA